TGTAGACCCAGCAAACCCTACGCGACCTGACGCTAAACAGAAGTGATCTACCATTTCGTCAAATTGTTGGTTCCCTACAGTATTTGGTGCGTTGTACGCGACCCGATATCGCGAAAGCGGTTCGTGTCTTGAGCAAGTTTCTTGACTGTTATACAGAGGAACATTTTGGACTGGCTCAACGCGCTCTTACGTATTTGAAGGGGACTAGTTCCTATGGATTGGTGCTACCAAACGTTTCTGCAAAGGGCAATCTTTCTATCGCTGGATATGCTGATGCTGACCTCGGCAATGATATGGACACTCGTCGATCTGTTACTGGCCAAGTTGTAACACTTGGTGGATGTGTTGTAGCATACCAAAGTAAGCTACAGCCCAGTGCAGTTAAAGATACATGCAGTGCTGAGCTCACAGCAGCCAGCTGCTGTGCAGATCGAATTCGATGGCTACAAAACTTGTTAGCCGAACTACAAGTTCCTGTCGAGCTTCCAGCTCTTCTCTGGACGGATAATGCTGCAGCTGTTCCGGTCATGACACATTCCAGCGGACATCACAAGATCAAGTGTCTAGATCTAGTGATATACAAGGTTATTGACTATGTCGATGCTGGTTACATTGTGGTAAAACACATGCCGTCTAAGGTCATGCCTGCTGATGCCTTAACCAAGCCATTGGGTAAGGGCAAGTTTCGCCAACATCGAAAGTAGCTTGGTGTCGAATGCCTGTGTACTCAAGTTGATGGGAGTACAGATGAAGAACCAGAACAACATCCGAGCCGAGCAGACGCGCAAACAAGCTAAGGAAGACTTCCAGTTTCAGGGGAGTATGAGACTGGGACTTGTCAGTTTCAGAAACCAGAAGTCTTTTGAGTATTGGTAGTCACTCGCCCGTTAGAAGCTTGGTTGATATTTTTTATTTCTAAACGGAGTCCTCCCAAGGGTGGAGCTCCAGCAATTCCCAATCTGCCAAGTGTGGGGAGCGAGTAGTGTGTTAACGCTTACTTCTTCCGTCGTACTCACTGTCCAGACATCGTACACGACCTCTGCAAGTGAGCGAGTAGGAGACGTTCGCTGTTACAATGTCACTACGGCTAACAACCGTGATGTTAACACCTGACAAGTGGTCGCCAGTAGGCTTGGTCTTGTCATAAACGCCAAGGTGTTCGAGGATCTTGACAATTGCCAAATGTGTGCAAGGCAGCACGCACTTTTGCGTCTTCTCGTCGTCTACGTAGCGGATGTTACGGTACAAGTTGCCACGGTAGAATTGGCACAGTCCTTCCACGTCCTTCTTAATGCTGATGCTGTCGCGCAAAAAATCGTCCATGGTGCCACCGAAGAAGCTCGGGAAGGCGCCGAAGCACGGGTAGTACACGAGAATACCGTGCACATCCGAGTCTTTGTTGGCCTTCTCCAAAGCCTCCAGCAGCTCGTCCTTGGGCACTTCGCGCAGCTCGTAGCGGATGCCGTCGCGTGCACAGGCCTTGCCCGTCCACTCGGCGTACTTCTTGGGCCGTGAGCCAGCAAACCCACGAGTTTGGGACCCACGCCACCCATGTCCTGCTCAATGTACTGGCGCACGGCCAAGCTGAAGGGCTCGGCGATGGTCGCAGCGTTCATTTTCGCACCGGCGGAGTCGGTCATCTTGATGTTTGTGGTAGACGTCGGTTTGACGGATGGCTGGCTGACCATTAAACGAAAACCGTTTGGTAAGAGCTCGATTTTTCAACGCTTTCGAAAAAAGGCCTCAATTAATATTTGATCATATTAGAAAGCCAAAAAAATTAAGAGTCGTTGTTTTTTCAAAAAGAAACGCTTTGTTTAACACCTTTGCTCTTCCTTTTTATTTTTTATCGCAATGATTTGATAAAATGTCATTGGAAAAAGTGATTCGAAATCAAAGTGCTCTTAGAAAAACAGAAAGCTTTTTTCTCAGGGTGGCTCTTAGCCACTGCCACGTGTGCCATACCATGGCACTAGAGATTGAGCCATGGCATGGCGTGGTTACGAATAGACCTGCCACTGTGCCATCATGAAAACTATTTTTAAAATATACATTAATGCAAATAAAAGTAGCATGGCACATGGCAATTGCCCTTTGCCATGACACTTGCGAATGTCCGTGGCACTTCCTGTCATTTTATTTACTTTAAACGCTAGCCCTAGCAAGCGCTCATCCAATCGGATCACAGCATTTTGTGCCATGGCGTGGTTAAGAGCGACCCTCAGTTAAGCGAGCACTTTTCAACGTCAGACTTAAAAGCGACATATAAGCTCCTATTGCTTTTTTTTAAGATACCGTTTTCGAAAGCGCTTTTTTGTAGAGTACTTGAATTAGCTCCCCAAAAAAGCACAACAACATTTTTTAGGTGCTACAGGGCCAAAGCAGCGCATGTTTAAAAAGTAAAAAATTAAAGCAGTATGTAGCGAGCACTCGCTGTAGTCGAGTGAATCAGACTCTTGCGCTGATGGTACCGTCGTCGCGCAGTGAAACAGTACCAGTACCCAACACGAGCTAAGCCAAATTAGTGGCGAGCAGCGAATCGAGCGCCTTGTTTTTGCTGACTGGGCTTATGTCTCCAGCCCATTTCTTTAATTAAACATAATTTTGACGTTAGTCCAGCCGATTTGTCAGTGGTGCAGTTTATCGTACCGGAACGATGGGACTGAGGTTGGTCTCCCAGCTAACAGCGCTGTGTACAGCGGGGACCATAAAGCCGAACACAAGCACGAATGCACTCGTGATGTGGCCTATCACGGCATCCCCGAGCTCCATAGGTGTGTGTGGTCTGTACAGCATTCTCTTGAAGTAGTGTTCTTCTCTTCGGAGTCTTGTTGGTCTTGGCGGGAATTGGTAACTGAGTCTGAAGACGGCAGCTTTGTGAATTAGTACACGTCGACCTTCTGGATCGCGGCGTTCTTTTGCGTCCCGTAGCATAGAGACTGCATTGCGGGACGCTCGACTGTGTCTCAGCTACGGACATCAATTTCAGCTTACGTGGAAAACTGTGAAGTCACTTTTGAACTTCAAGCAAACGCGTCTCTCCAGACGCATCGTTTTCTCGTCGTCACGACAGAAGTGTCGTGTACGGGGTAATAATACCTGGTGGTGGTGTGTACACTGTATATGTAGCGTGTGGTGTATCGCCATAGAGTAGATCTAATGCGACACAATGTTTCTCCTTGTTATCGACGAGATGCGTCCGAATTTTCATAATTGAAGTTGTCGCTTTTGTAATTATTAGCGCTATATTCTACAACATAAACATGAGATAAAAGGTGAAAAGCGTTGACGAAACAGAATGCAATAAACT